TCAGAAGTATTGCAAAAAGTTCCGAAAAAATCCCGAGAAGTTTCGAGAAAATCCCGAACGGTGAAAATTAAAAAAAAGCGACAAATCCCAAATTTTTTTTTTTTAATATACAAAAAAAGAAAAAATACTTCATATAATACCGATTTTTAACTATTCTGAAAAATTATGAAAAGCCCCGCACACAAATCAAAAATCCCATTAAGTTCAGGAAAAAAATACGAAAAACAATAATAACAAATCTCAAACTAACCCAAAAAATCGCGCAAGATTTTAAAAATTTCAGAAGTGGTGTGAAAAAGTTTCTTTAAACACACAAAATGTCTAAAACATACCATAAAAAAGAAGATTTCAAAAGAATTTTGGTAAAACGATTTCAAGTTGTGCCGAAATATACCGAAAACTTTAAAACCTAAAAAATCCCAAAAAGTTATACAAAAGGTTAAAAAAATAAATTATAGCCTCTAAGGAACCCGAAAATTTATTAAAAAAAATTTAAAAGTCGCTATATGATACGAGGAAGTCTTGAGGGGCTAAAAAAAAAACAAAAACCCGAAAAGAATGGAAAAAATTCTCAAAAATATTCAAGTAAATACAAATATAATTTCGAAAGAAGCCAAAATTTTTAAATGATCAAAAAAATGCTCAGAAGCTGCAAAAAATCCGAAAATTTTTAAAAAGTCCTCAAAAATATTTCGAAAGACCTGAAGAGTTACAGAAATATTAAAGAAAAATCCATCGAAAACCTCAAAAAGTTCGCGAAAAATGTCGAAAAGACATGAAATTGGTTATCGGTTAAAAAAAAAACGAAAAAAAAATGGAAAAAAATTCTCAAAAATATTCAAATGAATACAAATATAATTTTGAAAGAAGCCAACAATTCTCAGCAGGGTTTCAAAAAAATGCTCAGAAGCCTAAAAAGCCCGAAGATTTTCAAAAAGTCCTCAAAAATATTTCGAAAGACCCGAAGAGTTACCTCAAAAAGTTCGCAAATAATGTCGAAAAGACTCTTAAAAACTAGAAATCGGTTATCGGGTTTTCTTCGTCTAAATATTTAGATGTGAATTAAAACTGAAGGAATTTGAAATCGTGAGGAAATTATGTAACTATATATTCTATAAAGAGAGAAAATGATCATGCAAAATTCCTAGAAGCGGTACTACATTGTTTCCATTGACCTTTCGTTTTCAAAGCATAAAAATAAATTTCAATTTACAGTCTCTGATTTCGTCATCGTTATCATGCACCCTCCAATACAGATCTTAAAAACGTAACGAGCGTTACAATGTAGACAACAGAGCCAAACCTTACTCAACCAAAGATATGTCAGAAGAAGAAAAAAATATTGTTTAAACATTAACTACCTTGCTCTGGTCGCCCTAAATTTGATACACCGACTGTAGCACAGCACAAAACTATTCGCTATAAAATAAAACATCACCTACACGTACATAACATATGCACGACCTACCCGTACGTCGCCGCCAAATGAGCGCATTGGGATTAAACCCACGCTGCTCAGTTCGCTGAAAATCATCAGCAGTAAATTTTTCGCAAAATTGCGGAAATGAAACGGCAAAACTCACAAATGAGCCGGTGTGTAAGTGTGTGTCTAATTTTTGAGTGTGTGTGTGTGTGCGAGGACTTAATGATAACCAACCAAAGTCTGTTCACCTACTCGCTTTTCTCGCTCCACCACGCCATGAACTGCCATTTCGAGGTTGCCTGACAGCAGTCTGACCTACTTTGCGCTATGACCATTAGATAGTGTGCGAAGAGGGGGCGGGAGCGAGGGAGTAGGGTAGCAGGATAAATGTATGTACATATGTTTGGGGCATGTTGCATGCCCTCAACCTCATGCAGTTAGTCATTTGGTTGCATGCACTTACCTGATACTTGAGCGTCTGTTTGTAGATTGGCTCCGCTGAGTGCCTCACCACGCGCGTCTTCTTCTTATGTCGCAGTCGGTCGCCATCCTTAACGTAGCATTTCACATATGTGTCCGGTGGTGTTTCACAATCCACTGGCACTATATTGCGTGCGCATATCACCTGCAATTACAAAAGAAAAAATAAACAAAAGACAAGTAGAGGGAAGGACGGAGCGCGTCTACAAAGTGGACACGAATGAAAGGGTAATAAAATGCGGCGAAATGGCTGCTAATGGGCACACTGGGACCTTCCAGCATTATTGCCTGTAAATGTATGTATGCACGTACATATGCGCTGGCGGCTAGATAGCCTGTGTGTTGCATGTGGCATGTGGCTGCTCTTCGCAAGCGCTTAATTGGGCGTGCAACAGTGCGCAAATTTTCGTAAATTTTCGACGAGCTGCATGGCCATATACGATTAAGCGCCGCAAGGGAGTTCGGTTGACTGCGCTTAAGCGCGTAATTTTAAATTTTAACAGCCATCTAGGCGCGCAGGTAACGCATACATACAAATATCCCTGCAGGCCTTTACTTCGCCTCGTCCATTGCATCCCACATATTTCCAGCTGCATACTCACCTCAACCTCCACCACGCCCTTGATTTTCGCAAAACCCATTTTCAGCTCGCCATGCCGCACGGTCGTCAAGCGATAGCCCTTCGGATGTATCTGCCCTGGACCCATTTTGAGTCCATAATCGGTATCGATGCCCGTTGTGGCGACCGTGGTCACAGTCGTGGACGTTAGACTGCCAATGCTGCCGGCGTGACTGCCATGGTGGCTGAGATTCTTGGCGCTTGCGTTGTGCGGTGCCATGCTTTGCTTGCGCAACATGGACGGGCTGTCGGTGGTATTCACGTTGTACATGCTTGGCTTGCGCATGGGCGACGCCTCAGCCTCGAGCGCGCCAGCAGCACGACCGCCTGGATAAACGCTGCCCTTGCGCTGAAGCGAACCGCTGCTGCCGCTCACCATACTGCCCATACTGCCAGTTTCACGCTCCGTATTTGTGTGTGCGTAAACGCTACCCTTACGCTGCAGCATCGGCGAGGGAGCGAGCGCATTATCGCCTGCGCCTGTCTTCAGATTTATCATGCTGCCTTTGCGCAATTGCTTGGGACTGTCGGCGCCTACACTCAGCAGGCTGCCACTGGCACTCTGTCCTCCTTGCATTGCTACGTTTGTGGCGGAGGAGGCTTGCTTAAGCATAGAGAGCGCTTGTTTGGCGCTCTGTGGACGCAAATTGTTGCCGGAACCTTTCCAGCGTGGCGAAAACTGTTTGTTGTTCTCCTCGTCGGAGGGTGGACTGGTCGCTGCATTGCCAATGCCTACAGGTAATTGTTGCTGCAGATGCTGTTGGAGTTGTTGATGCTGTTGATGTTGTTGTTGTTGCTGCTGCTGCTGCTGCTGCTGAGAGATGTCAAGTATGGAGCCTTTGCGGCTGCTCGGGTTGCTCGGTAAGCAAATGCGACTGCCACCTAGCCGTAGTTGTTCGAGTGGTTGCAAAATGAATGAAAAAATGGAAACGTTAATTGCGCATACCAACGAAGTTGAGAGCATAAATGGAGCCTTAGTACTCGAGGGAGTACGCCTGGGCTCGTACACCAGAGGGTGCTTGCAAGAATTTCACTACAAACTGAACTCAAGTATACACTAAGGTAAAAACAAAAAAAAAACAAAAAAATCTGCTGCTCATATCGCATATTCCACTTACTTAAGTACTTAAGTACGGATATAAGTGGTGGATAAGTTACAATAGAAACAAATTTTAACTGTTGAATATGCATATAAAACTTACAAAATATGAACGTTTAAGTTGCGAACTCAAGGTAAATAGCGAAAGAGCATGCGAGGAATGAATTTGTACGTATTTGTGGGCTAGGAAGGTGGGCAAATTTAAATTGAAATCAACGGCAGCTAGCTAGCTATGGAAAAAGTATACATACATATCTAAGAATGATAAACATATATGTACATATCTACGTATGATTGTAAAATTTAAGCATTCAACAGAACAGCTAGGTTTATTAAAAGAGAATTGGAAAAAGTTTCCGTGTCTTGTGTAAGTATGTGTATTGGGTGTGTGCAACATACATATATCAATATCACTGCTGTAGCTTTAGGGAAATGAAAATTGTGTTTTGTCAGAAGTGATCCCAAGCATCGGCTATTTTGCACCTTCATTTAAAATTTTTAAATTTAACTTTTTTAAATATCTTTAAATTCGAAATGGGTGGCAACCCTACCTAAACTTTAGCTATTTTAGATGCTCTTAAGCACAACTAATTTTGTTCAAATATGGAAGTTTTAGTTGATTTTATTTACTTTAACTATTTAGATAAGTGGCAACCCCATATGAGTTAAATTCATAAAACTTTTTGATTCTTGGAAGCACTAATTGGAATCATATTTAATCCAAAATGGACAAAAATATTCTTCTTTAACTGAAATTGTATGCTAGAGGTGGTAACCTTATGAAGAAATGTGGGTTAACTAAAGCTTTCTTACAAAAATTTCCAATATGATGCATTTTCAAATATTTTACGCATCTTTTTTATACTTCTTGCCTGAATAGCTGGCAACCCTCTTAGAGAGTTAATTTATCTGAATTACAGTTTTCTCCAAATACCTGCGTTTAGTATATGTTTTTTTTTATTTTTCGGTTAAGTGGCCACTCTGTTTAAAATATTTTCGCAATAATTTTTCATAGCAAACGGCCTCAAGCTCAATAAAAATTCTTTAATATGATTTATTAGGTAAAAAAAAAAAATATTTCCAGCTGAAAATAAACACGTTGAATAGAATTGCGTTTGATGCTCATATCCTAATAATTTTTTTCTTAAGATAATAATTTTATATGGAAGAGGTTGTTTGTAATTTTATTGTACATACTTTTTTCTTTTGGCTTTACTGATGAATTGGATTTATTGTAAGTTTGATATCAAATTTTCCTCTAAGTGGCAACCCTAATTGAAAATATCATTATTCAAAAATTAGTTTGCCTCGGAAATGTCAATATACCATTTTCTCTTAAATTTTTGGGATAAATAAATTTTATTTAAAATTATTCTTTTTTTTAAGTGGCAACCTTAGTTAAGATGAACGGTGTTTAAAACCCATTTAGCATGAAAACGTCTACATACACTTTAATTCAAATTTTTTGGGTGTATACATTCCTTTTGTTAAATTGTTTTTTTTTTATGTGGCAACCCTAGTTAAAAGTAAGGATGTTTGAAAATAATTTGAGTTTAAAAAAAAAACAGATTTATCCTTTAATTTTAACATTTTTTTTAAAATAATTTTTTCAGTAATGTGGCAACCCTAGTTACAAGTAACTATGCTTAAAAATAATTCACCGTTAAAAGACGTCGATATGTATTTTTGATTTTACATTTATTTTTTATTTTTTCAGATACATGGCAACTCTACCGAAAAGTAAAGCTATTTAAAGATAATTCGTATTTTAATCAACGATCTTCTCTCTACTTTTCATACAATAATTTTCAGAGAGGTGGTAACCCTAATTAAAAATAACGTTATTCTTCTTAAAAATTTTAAGAATGAATAAATTTACTAAACTTTCTTTCAAATATGTGGTAACTTTACTTGCAAATAGTGCCGTTAAGAAATAGTTTAGCATTAAAAGCGCTTTTCGTTTTTCTCCTTTTTGTAAAAATAATTTGTAGTATACTAGTAATTTGGCAACCTCAGTTAAAAAGAATGCTTTTCAAAAATAATTTATCGTTTAAACGTCGATACATTCCTTGAATATCACTTTTCGGGCCAAACAAGTTTCGTTTAGTAAACTTTTTTTTTGACATGTGGCAACCCTAGCTAGTACATATGTCGCTTTTAAATGTTGCAGAACTCTTGATTTTTCTTTTAACTGAAATAAGAAGTTCTTAGTTATCTGGAACAAGGTTTGCTTATTTCAGGCCTAAAAAAAAATATAAAACTCCTTGCTGGCTGATTTGGAATAATTGAAAATATATAATCCAATAAGTACTCCTATTGAAATTCTAGGAAAATTGCAGCAAATTTCAATTTGTGCTATATATATGTATGAATACATTTTCTGATTGCAATATTTGTGGAAGTTATTTTAAAATTGAAACATACACACACACACACTACCGAAAGCAATAACATTTTCATTCTATAATTTTCCACAGTTCCTTGAATGCTATACAATTTACCGTAAAGCGATTTCAAGACGATGCACAAACATAATGACCTCCGTTGCAAAGTTACCAAATTGCAATTGTAAGTATTTGCTGGCACGTTAAGCATTTGATTGTGGTAGCAGCAACCGAGATGCTTTGCGGTTAACAGACAATGTTGGGCTTGATAATAACCACAAAAACAACTTAAGAAGCAATCAAAACTAATTGTTAATAAGCGGGAAGCACTATTACTTATGTTTAATAATACATATGTATATACATATGTATATATAAGTGCATACGAGTACATATGTACGTACGTGAGTTAGTTTGTTGCTAAGTAATTGCAAGATTTAATATCACATTGTTGATTTCAGAGTATTTATGACGATTGATGAATGTACCGATATTACTCATACGCCTAGGTGGTCGGAAGTGTCTTGGTGAAAATTTTAAATTCAAGTTAGTTAAAATGTTAAATGAATTGTTAAAATATAGGAATCTATTGAAATGTGTTTAATAAGGCTTTATTTTTATACTAATTTAAAAGGGGTTGCCACATGTCCAAAAAACCAATTCGACTAAATTCATCAGTTAATTGAAATATGTATCACAAAGTCAGACGACGAAGATTTAAGAATGTTTACTTTGAAAATACTTTTGAAGAGGGTTGCCACCTATTGGAAGAGATGAATTTAGTTCACTTACATTTATACAAGTTATGTGAAGTAACAAAATATGGGTGTCACACGAAATCTTTAATTTGAACATTTAAAATAGATTTGAGGTGCTTGAAGAGGGTTACCACATGTTAAAAAAGTTAAGTTCAAATAATTTAATAATTTAAATTAATTACTAAAGATGGGTATCAATCGAAATGAGTTTGAAAAAGCTATATATCTGAATTAAATAGAAGGGTTGCCACATGTTTAGAAAATCAGATTCAATTTAAGTTAAAGTAATTTAAATGATATTCTGAATTTGGCTGTCAGACGAAATAGGTTTAAGAAGATATTAGTTTGAAAAGATTTTGAAGAGAGTTGCCACCTCTTTTATAAGGTGGATTTAATTTGACTATGCATGAAGTTACATGAAATATTAAGATATTGGAGGAAGAGGAAATTTTTTTTTTTTTTTTTTGAACATTTTGAATATTTAAGAGTCATTTGAAGACAGTTGCCATCAGTTTAAATTCAAATAATGTAATAAGTTAAATGAATTATTCAAATATGGGGATCAATCGAAGAATAAGATTAAGGAATAGATTTAGACTAAGATAAAGATTACGATTAGTATTAAGACTAAGATTACGATTGAAATTGTCAACAAGATTAAGATTAGGATTAAGATTGAGATTAAGATTAAGATTAAGATTA